GCATCTTTGCGGCCGCGCCCGCCCTAGCGCGCGCGCAGCGGCAGCTAGTTTGGCGCCGCCGACGCGGCTGCGGCGGCGCTGGCCGCTGGGCGCCCCCCATTGGGCACTTCACTGCGAGTCGGTTTCTTGGACGGCGACGATGGCAATGGCGATGCTGGTGGCGATATTCGCACCGACGAAGGCGCGGCCAATGCGGGCGCCGATGCTGCTCGCGCCGACGACGATGACGGCGTCGTCGCGTCGGCGATGAAGGTTTTGGAAGAAGCTCGACGCGCGCGCGCGGCCGACGCGCGAGAGTGGTCCGCGCGGTTGTACGCGACGCCGATTGCCCCCCCCCCCCCCCCCCCCCCCCCCCGCGCGCGCGCAAGGGCGCGCGAATGATGTCGGCATGCGGCGCCAGAGGCCCGTGTCCATGAAGATGTTGAAAACAAACTTGTGGTTTCCTTAAGAATTCGCAGGATCCCGCGCCATTTTTTGTTTCGAAAATTGGCGTTGCGAAGCCTTGTGTTTTTAAATGCGTTCTGTATATTCGGTTTTGAAGCCGCTGCGGAACCGAAAGTTCCCTACCTGGGCTCTGCCTAGAGGGTTCGTACTCTCTTTCTCAAGGGGCCGGGCAGTGGAAACCGCCCCGGGCGGTTCCCCCAGCATCCGCCCCGCGGTTCCTCCAGTTGCGTCCCCTTTTAGCTTAGCTTAGCTTAGCTTAACTTAGCTTAGCTTATCTCATCATAGCTTAGCTTGGCTTATCTCATCTTAACTTAGCTTAGCTTAGCTTTGCCTAGCCTAGCCTAGCCTAGCCTAGCCTAGTTTAGCTTAGCTTAGCTTTGCTGTCCTTAGCTTATCTCTTTGTAGCCTCGCTTAGCTTAGCCTGGCTTAGCTTAGCTTAGCCTAACCTAGCCTAGCTTAGCTTAGCCTAGCCTAGCTTAGTTCAGCTCAGCTTAGCTTAGCTCAGCTTCGCATAGCTTAGCTTACCTTAGCTTAGCGCAGCGCAGCATAGCGCAGCGCAGCATTAGCACCGCATAGCATAACATAGCAAATCATATCATAGCGCAAGATAGCGCAGGATATCATATCATAACATGTCATATCGTAGCATAGCGCAGCATACCAATTCATGTCATCGTATAGCATAGCATTGCTTAGCATAACACAGCGCATCATGGCATAGCACAGCATAGCATAGCATCTATGTAGGTGTAGATGTACGTGTTGATGTCGATGTAGATGTGAGTCTCGCTGTTGATGTTGATGTAAATGTAGATGCAGGTGTAGATGTAAATGTAGCTGCCGGTGTAGATGTAGATGTTGTTTTCCTGAATGCTCCAACTCCTAGGTAGGGTCGCACTGGGATTATTGAATCGCTTCGCTCATTCCGCCGGCCCATACGGTCTCATGTCTGCCGTTTGCCCGAGGGCCTGGTGTCAATGCGGCGCTTTGGGGGTTCCTGGGGCCGCTTGGGGGACTCCTGGGGCGCTCGGGGGGGCATTTGGGGGGCCTCCTGGGGCCGCTTGGGGGACTCTTGGGGGCCTCCTGAGGGCCTCGTGGGGGCCTCTTGGGGCCTCTTAGGGGCCTCTTGGGGCCTCGTAGGGGCTTCTTAGGGCCGAGGGCGCGAAATTTTGTTTCGTGTTCCCTCTCTGGGGCCCCTTTGGGGGTGTTCTTGGGGCCCTCTTGGACCGTCTTGGAGGCTTCTTGGGCCGTCTTCGAGCCCTCTTGGGCCATCTTGGGGCCCTCTTGGGGGCCTCTTGGGCCCTCTTGGGGCGATCTTGGGGGCCTCTGGGGCCGTCTTGGGGCGTCGGGAACCGAAAAGGTGGAAGCTCCAAAATCTCTCAAAAACCTAAGGAAAAACAATGAATTTTGCCTCCGGGGGCCCTCTTGGGAGTGCTCTGGGAGGCCTCTTGGGGCGTCTGGGGGCTATCTTGGGCGTCTTGGAGCGATCTTGTGGCATGTCGGACCCCTCGTGTACCATCTTGGGGGCCTCTTGGGGGCCTCTTGGCCTTTCTTGGGGCTCTCGGGGACGTCTCGGAGCCCTGTTGGTGCGCTCATGGAGCGCTCCTGGAGCGCTCTGGGGGACTCCTCTCGGGACTCTCTCAGGACCTTGCCGGGGTACTTTTCGTCCGGGGATCCCCAGGGGCCGCCCCGCGCGCGCGAACTAGAGAATTCTTAACCAGTTACCGGAGATCTTAGCACGCCTCTGGCCCGTTGGGCCGGCGAATTTGTTTCAAGGATTTCGGCATGCGCGCGCGGCGACGCGCGCGTGTGCACTTCGCCCAACTGTTTGCAACACGTTCTCGCGACGGCACGCGCGCAAAGGCGTTGGAACGATTTCGGCATGCGCGCGCGAAGCCCGTTTGGTAGCTTCTGTTTGTGAACATGGTTTCCTTGGGAATTCGTAGGAGCAGGCTCGCACGCGTTTTTTGAAAATCCGCGTTGCGAAACCATGTGTTCATATATGAGTTTTGGATACTCGGTTTTGAAATCCTTCCGAAACCGAGAGTTTTGAAGGATTCCGGCATGCGCGCGCGACGACGCGCGCTTGTGCACTTCGCCTTGTTTTTCTTGCAAGGGGTTCTTGAAAAATGATGATTTATAACAGACGGGTGTGCGCGCATATTTTTTTGCAAAAAGGATAGTGGGGGGGGGTTCGATACCGGTTGGGCTGCGATGGTACGACTTCATATTTCGGATGGACGATGGGGCGGAAACGTATGTAAACCGCAATACGAAAAGGTGGATCGATAAAGCGATGGGGACGGGGTGAGCCTAATTCTTGTTAGAAAGGAGAATCTACGTGGTGCAATCTAGGCGGCGACGGGGCGGCGACGGCGGCAACATAACCGCAAGAGTGGCACACATGCCAAGTCTTTCAGAGGATACTAAAGAACCCCTCGGTGCAAACACTATTCGGGGAACATTGGGGTGTATTGGGGCACATTAAGTCAGTCTTCGGCCATTTAAGGTGTCCTTTTGAAGTCTTGACAAGCGAAAGTCGGCGGACTCCTCCCTGCTCTTGTTCGACGACGACGCGCGGCCACGACGACGAAGAAAACGGACGACGACGACGACGACGACGGACGATGACGATGACGAGCGACGACGGACGACGACGGATGGCCTCGACGACGATGACCCCCGGATTTTCCGGTAGTCTCCGAGAGACTCTGAGAATTTCCAGAATTATATTAAAACTGTGGGGCATTATCACACGCATTCGAATAAATTTGAACATTTTCGGCAACAGACGGTGGACGACGACGACGACGACGATGACGATGGCGGACGATGTTGTCGACGCACGACGACGGCGACAACGGACGACGACGACGGACGGCAACGATGAATGACGGCGGACGACAACAGACGACAGACGACAGACACAGACGACGACGACGACGCGACGACGGCGACGACGACGCGACGACGACGACGAAAACGACGACGACGACGACGACGGCGACGACGACGACGACGACGGATGACAGACGACGACGGACGACGGATGTCGGACCACGCACGACGGTCGACAAAGACGACGACGACAGACGACGACGACGACGACGTCGACGGTCTGCGGAGGTCTCTGGGGTCTCCGCAGTGTTCTGGAACTCCCAGAAGGTTTCCAGAGGCCCAAGATGAAGGTGCCGAGACTGCCCTCACATTTCCATCCTCGACACCTCAAGCCTTCGATCATCGAACCTCGACGGGCTCGGCGTCCACAGTGGTCTCCAGAGTTTTCTGGGTGTCTTCAGAAGGCATCGGGAAGCATTCGGATGCCCAGAAAGGGTCAAAAACAACCCCCAGAAACGCCAATCCTCGAAACCTCGATTCCTCAAAGCTCGAACCACGACGAATGGACAGCGACGTGCCCACGACGTGCCCTGGGCCGCCGAGGGCCGAGGAGAGCCGCCGAAGGCTGGCGAGAGCTGCCGAGGGCCGCCGAGGGCCGCCGAGGAACGCCGAGAAGTAGTGAAAACAGCCGAATATCAAAAACCCTCGACGTACAGAAATTGTTCGAAATCATTGGGAAATCATGAAAATCATGCAGTCTGCGGCGATGACGTGGACAAAACGGAGGATGGGGCTCCCTCTCCCACCCGCCTCAGACGAGGTCGAGCGACGACGTGGACGACGCGGAGTAGCAGAAGGAAGAGGAGGAGGAGGAGGAAATGTAGAAGGGGGTGGAGGAGGAGGAGGAACCGTTGGAGGACGAGGACAAGGACGACCTTGAAAAATTAGGGAAAATTGCTCGACACTTTTCGGAGACTGGAAAGTCGTTGAATATCGTGGGAATCCGCCGCAGCCGTCGACGAAAGGCGACGCGCCCTGACCTTGCCCTGAGTGCTTTCTGGTCAGAATCTTGCGGCGGACCTGGCCGTGGCTTCTGGGAGGCCCATTAGAGGCCAAGAGCGACCAAGAACCTCGATCAACGAGCTTCGAGCCTCGACGACCGGCCGCGACGCACCCGTCGTCGAAAATCGCCGTCGTCGTCGTTGTCGTCGAAGACCTTGTTAAAGTTGTTGGCGACTGACTCGCCGACGACCGACGACCGACGTCGACATCGGCGAGCGGCGGCGTCGTCGGAGGCCTTCTTTGAAGTCGTCGTCGACCGGCCGACAGCCGCGGCGCGCCCGAAAGCTCCAGGCGTCCGTGGCCAGAACCCCCAACAGTGACACGTCGATTAGTGAATTGTCCGTTTTCGGTTCTCGAGAGGGAGCCGTGGCCGTTATTTTCCAGGCCTGCGCCCGCCAGGTTTGGGCCCCAGGTCGTTTTCACTAAACCACGTTTTACTAAAGGGGGGTCTGTCCATCCCCGATCCGGGCGTCCGTGGCCTCCGTCGAAGGGCGCGACCCCTCCTCCTCCTCCTCCTCCTCCTCCTCCTCCCCTCCTCCTCCTCCTCCTCCTCCTCCTCTCCTCCTCCTCCCTCCTCCTCCTCCTCCTCCTCCTCCTCCTCCTCCTCCTCCCCCTCCTCCTCGAAAGCCGCCCAAAAGCCTCCCCGCGCCCGAAAGCTCCAGGCGTCCGCGGCCTCCTCGCGGCCCTCGGCGGCTCCGCGGCCGGCGGGCTGCTGGTCGCGGGCTGCGGGCTGCTGCTGCTGCCCGAGGCCGCAGCCTCTGCCCCGGGCGGCGGCGTCCGCCGCCGCCGCCGCCACCGCCGCCGTCGCCGTCGCCGCCGCCGTCGTCGTCGCCTTCTGTTGCATCTTCGGGGGACCTCGCCTGTCCCCAAAATTGGTGTCTTTTTGGGGGCCCGACGCGTGCTCGATGCGGACTCGACGCGGATTTGGCGTGGATTCGACGCGGATTCGACACGGATTCGACATGGATCTGACGCGTCCGACATGGATTCGACACGGATTCGGCGCGGACAGGGCCGCGACGGGACAGACAAGGTCCCCCGAGGATGCAACATAAGTCGCCGTCGCCGTCGTCGTCGTCGGCGTCGTCGTCGGCGTCGTCGTCGTCGGCGTCGTCGCCGTTGTCGTCGTCGTCGTCGTCGCCGTCGCCGTCGCCGCCGCCGCCGCAGTTCAGAGCCCCGAATCAACAGGGGTAACTCGGGTCAGGGCTAACTCGGGTTCGCTTTTCGGGACTCCGAACCCGAGTTACCCCTGGCCCGAGTTGCCCCGGAGAACTCGGGCGTCCAGAGCCCCATCTCACCAGGGGTAACTCGGATCAGGGCTAACTCGGGTTCGCTTTTCGGGACTCCGAACCCGAGTTAACCCCGGGCCCGAGTTGCCCCGGATGACTCGGGCGTCCAGAGCCCCAAATCATCAGGGGTACCTCGGGTCAGGGCTAACTCGGGTTCGTTTTTCGGAAATCCAAACCCGCGTTACCCCGGGCCCGAGTTGCCTCGGATAACTCGGGCGCCCAAGCAGTCGCCGTCGCCGTCGTCGTCGTCGTCGTCGTCGTCGTCGTCGTCGTCGTCGTCGATTCGAAGAGAGCCGCATAGAGATGTTGGACGATGTTCGAGGCGGTTCGGTGGCCGTCGAAGGTTTTCGGTGGCCTTCGGGTATTTTCGCCGGTTTCCGGGGGTTCTCGGAGGCTCTCGGAGGATCTCGGAGGCTCTCGGGGGCTCTGGGAGGCTCTCGGAGACTCGGAGCCTCTCGGAGGCTCACATGGACCGTCGTCGCCCGTGCGCTTTCCGACTCGGGACTGTGCTCGCGCAGGCTGCCCGTGTTGCCGCTGCTGCTCCTCCTCCCTCATTCTTCTTGGCGGAGCTCTCGCCAGTGTCGTGGCTGTCCTGCTGCTGCTGCTGCTCCCCTCCTTTTCCCTCATGCTGCCCCCTCCTGCGCGTCCTCCTGCTTCCCCCCCCCCCTCCTCCCTCATCCTCCCCAGGCCCCCTCGCTCAGAAAACAAACAAAAAACACGCCGAAGGCTTTCTGTAGTTTTTGACCTCTCGGGGCCCTTTCCGGGCCCTGGGGCCGTCTGAGACGAGCCAGGGTAGGGGGCCACATGCGAATCCTACCCCTACCCCCCACGATTTCTGAGGGGGAGGGTGGGGTTCACTTCGCTCGGGTGAAATGCCCGTCCTGGGGAAGGGGCCCGGGCCTCCCGTGCAGCTCTCCTCGGCTGGGCCCTCCTGCTGCCGAGCGCTGCATAAAACTCAGGAGGGGAAAAAACACACACAGACACAATGAATCGTCGATTCCCAAGAAAGTATGGGAAAATATGGGTATTGGGCGGGAAATCAAAAACCCAGAAAATATGGGAAAATATGGGGAATCTTTTTATTGGTGTGTATTTTTCTGTGTGTCCCAGGTCCCCTTCAATAAAACATATCATGAAAGCCGTTTTCTTAACGGTTTCGGCTTCTGGGGGCTTGTTGCTCGCCAGGCGATCCCCGGGTGGGATCGAGATCCAGGGGTGGGGCCGACTTCACGAAGCAAAAAGCGACGTCGGACGGGGGGGGGTTCTCCTCCTTCAGCTGCTCCCTCCTCCCACTCCTCCTCCTCCCTCGAGCGGGGGCGCAGGGAGTGCTGGTGTTTCTCGGAGGTTCTACGGGATTCTCTGAAGGGGTTCTCGTTGGGCTTCCAGGAGGAGAGGGATGCATCTCGTCGTTCCCTGCCCAGGATCGGTGTAGATGCCCTTTTGGCTTGGTCGGAAAGTCACATACACCGATCCTGGGTCCAGGATCGGTCTGGCCAGGATTGGTGTGGTGGTTAGTTGACGCCCCCCGAGCTCAGGGGTTCGCTTTGAGACCCACAGCGGAAGTCCCGGCTGCCTTCAGCAGACCCCCAGGGCACTGCAATCTGGGTACGTGTATTATTGCCTCTTCTATCCCTCACATCTGTTCCCGTGTGTCCCTGCCTGTGCCTCTGCTAGTCTCACCCCGTCTCACCGGCGCCGTGTCTGCCCCCCTCGGGGCCCCTCGAGCGTGCCGGCGCGAGACGCCCGCCGTTTGCCCCCAGCGAAGATAAAAACATGTCACCGTGCCTGTGAATCGGTACCAGCTCCGTGACAGTGCAAGAGTCAGGAGGGAGAAAAGCACAGACACAATCGATCGTCGATCTCCAGGAACAGACGGGAAAATATGGGAAGTGGGGGGGAAGACAATAACCCAGAATATATATGAAAATATGGGGGAATCTGGTTATTTGTGTGTATCACATATATATATATATATATATATATATATATGTGTGTGTGTGTCCTGGGGCCCCTTCAAATCGACACGTTTCTTGCTTCAGCTTTATCGGAGGCATTTCACTGGCCCCAGGGCGCGCCGCGCCCAGCGAGCGGGCGCCGGATGGCGAGACCAGGAGGCCGCGCCTGCACGTCCTGGAAGTGCCCCACCCTCCCTTTGCACTTGCCTCAAGGGCTTCGAACGCCGCTCGTTTTTGTTCACGTGGCGTTTCCTCATCGGAACGTCCTTGATGTTTCTAATGGGTGGTTCCGCTGCCGCGCCGGCCTCACTTCAGGATCGGCTGCTCCCGTCGTTCGGAACGGCGCCATCGCCCTGGCGTGGGCCACGCTTCTGGATCCGAGCGCTTCCGCGTCGTTGCCGCCCCATTCCTTGTCCTCTCCCCCGCTTTCTCTTCGACCTCCCGCGCCTCCTCCTGCTGCTGCAGGTCCTCCTCCTCCTCCTTCTCCTTCCTCGTCCTACTCCTCTCTTTCCGCCTCAGATTCCTGCCCATCCGCCAATATCACTTGGGGTGCCTGGCTCCTTGGCCAAGGCTAATCCTGGCTGCCCTCCACATGCCCCTGTGTGTAAGCAGTTTAGGCCAACGCCCTCGCAAAAGGGTCCTGCTGAGTGCAGCCAGGACTGCGCCTGGGAGCTGTCAGTGCGCAACCCAGGGCTTCAAGAGATGGTTCGAGGGGGAGGGAGGATGAAAGCACGGCTTGCCCGCTGCACCCTGGATAAGTAGCCCCTCGCGGCCGCGCTTGGATGCCAAGATTTGTCGTGTCGTGATGGTGTGGCACGCGGCGCATCCGTACAAAAGCCGTTCCGCATTAATGTGGTTCCACTGGTTATCGTTCGTTAGGCTCGCCATTCTGTTTGACGGTCGGGTACTGTTGGAAGAACTAGTGGCGCATCTGGTTCGGGTGCTTCGTCTGGCTTGAGGCCACGATGCCCTACTACGATAGCAAAGGCAAACTCCTGAATATAATGTGCAATCGAGGCCCGTGTGGGTTCGATGCCACAGGTGTATCCTTGTTGCCAAAGAGTGCGTGAGCCATCCCATGCCCCTAAGTGTCAGATCGGATGTCCGTCTGCTTCCTTGAGGTCACGGTCGATCGTATCGACGGGAGTTGTGTCCTCGACGACGCTTGGGGTTGCCCACGACAGTATCACCATGATGTCAGCTTTTGGGACACTAGTTAATAGGCACAGCGTCTTGGGCTGGCAGAGCTGATGAAACATACGATCAAACGTACGTTCAGCTCGTTCATGTGAGCACATTGCCTGAATATTCTCCAGATGTATCCTGGTGCGGTGCCGCGCAGGTCCGCGACCGCGCGTGGAGATGTAGAAAGGCAGAGCAGCTCGATTGCACGGCGCCAGGTCTTCAAGCCAGGGAACACATTCAGGTGTTTGAGCGTCCTTACTGGCAAATACCCCGCCACGAACAATTCCCCCCTCCCTTGTTCTTCTCCTTCCTTTCCTGACAACAGTTGCGTGGACAGCTGCAGCGGCGTAAGTATTTCATTGCACCAGATTCGCCACCATCTCACTCGTTGCGGCGCGCCTTCTGCGGACACTGCTTGCCCAGCACTATCTCATCAACGATTTACAGCGCTACTATAGATCCTCCGCGAATGAGCGGGACATCACGATACCCAATCCCCTCCCCCGTTGAGAGGCCAGCCTTATTCCACTTGTGTACATATAACGGGTTGCCCACAATTGGTGGATGCGGTTGCTCCCCCCTCCCCCCTTCCCCCATCCTTTCCCTCTATCCCCCCCCCTCTCCCCCAACTGCTCCTCCTCCCGCCCCCCTCTTCTCCCCCGCTCTCCCCCCCTTCGTCTCCCCGCTCTCCCCCACCTTTGTCTCCCCGCCCCCCCTGTCGCTTTCTCGTCCTAGTCGTCGTCGTCGTCGTCGTCGTCGTCGTCGTCGTCGTCGTCGCCGCCGCCGCCGCCGCCGTCGTCGTCGTCGTCGTCGTCGTCGTCGTCGTCGTCGTCGTCGTCGTCGTCGTCGTCGTCGTCGTTCCCCTCGACGGGCGGCTGCTCGGCTCCCGCGCCAGGGGCCCCCAGGAGCAGCCCATGGAGGGGGGCGGGCTGCGGGCAGGGGGGCCGGGCCGGCGCCCCCAGGCCAGCGAGCCTCCGCGGGGCGGCCTGCTCTTCGGCGAGGAGCTCGGGGCGGGGCGGGAGGCCGAGGTCACCCCGAGGGCGCCAAGGCCGTCGCGCCTCGCGCGTCGTGTCCAGGGAGGCCTCCTGGGGGCGCAGAGACAATCACGCGTCGCGCACGGCGGGGTGCGGTGCGCGAAGGCAGGTGGGCCCGAGGAGCAAGAGGGAGGCTGCCCTCTGCGCCCTGCTCCTGCCCCGTGCGCCTTCTGCGCGTGGTGCTGCTGCTGCTGCTGCTGCTGCTGCTGCTGCTGCTGCTGCTGCTGCTGCTGCTGCTGCTGCTCCCCTTCCAGGGGGCGGCCCGAGCAACCGCCATCCCGTCACCCTGGAAGTAGAAGGGGGCCTGGAGGAGCGGCGTCCTGGAGTTGTTGTTTCCACGTGCTGGGATTCCGGGAACGACCCAGGGTGAGCAGCTGGTCCTGGGGAAAGCCCTGGGGTCCAGGACCCCTTTCCACCAGGTGCCAGCCTGGAACAGATCCCTATCCCTATGCTGGGCACCTCCTCATCACGATGCCAATCTTTGGGATTCCCTCAGTTTTTGAGGACGAATCCCTGAGATTGTCATCGCCTTTTGGCGTGTCAATCTTAGGGATGGGGATACGTTCGAGGCTGGCAAATCGGGTCTCCCCTTCCCGTGTGCCGCCAGATCTCTGTGGTCTCAGTGGGCCCGCCCCGCGCGGTTTGCTCTCTGTCCAGGGGCTGCGCACGGTGGTGACGTCTGCTCTGTGGTGGCAGGTGGGCTGTTTTGGCAGACGGCTTCGGGACATGGAGCGCTGGACTTCTGCCGGCTACCCTGGGGAGACAATTTGATACACTAATGGCCAGCTGGGGCCCCAGGGGCCCCTCGCCTTCGCCTCTTGCGACGGCGATGCCAAGAGCACGTCGCAGACTGTGCTTCGATCCCTTTTCATTCAGCGCACGCGGTGCATCCACATCCACATATTGAAAGCGGATGCCGTCGTTTGCCCTTGCGTGCACACGTGGTCATTCATGCCATTAATTTCTTTTCCTTGAGATAGTTGGCCACGTCCGCTTCTTGTTTCTAGCATCAGATGTACAATCAGCTCCTGTAGAGGCAAATGATACCGGAAATCGCTAACTCACCGTCCTCCTTCCCTTCCCCTCTCCCATCCTCTTCTCGAAAGAGCCCACTGGCACACCCTGAAATCCCTCCTATTTCCTCCCCATCCTCCTGCACTCCTCCCCAGACGGCAGGTTTTGACGACGGTTGCGCTTTTGGAAGGTAGCTAGCGGAGCGCAACGAGGAGGGAAATGCTTCTAGGAGGTTGAAGAGGTTCAATCGGGGTTGAATTGGTTTCATACGTTTTTACCTTTGAGGGTGAAGATGATTCAGTCTATGGAGTCCTGTTCCCCCCCAGCGGCGGCGGAGGAGCTTGCGAGCCTCCTGTCCGGCGGGGCGCCGCTTGCTGGCTACGGACTGTGGCTGTTGGTGCTGCTCTGCGGCGTGCTGAGGTGAGAGAGAGAGAGAGAGAGAAAGGAAGGAGGAGGAGGAGGAGGGGAGGAGGAGGAGGAGGAGGAGCGAGCACGAGCGGGAACTTTTGAGGGAGCCACATCAGGAAGAGGAGGAGGATGTGTAGGAGGGTGGTGACGACGACGATGGTGACGGTGATGGTGATGGTGATGGTGATGATGATGCTTGTGGTGACGAGTTTGACGATGGTGGTTGGTGGTGATGGTGATGGCGATGCTCCTGTTGATGATGATGACGACGATGATGATGATGATTCTGGTGATGATGATGGTGATGGTGTTGGTGATGGTGAGGAAGATGATGAGGAGGACGATGATGGTGGTGGTGGTTATGCTGATGGTAATGGAACTGGCGATTATGGTGATGATGATGATGATGATGATGATGATGATGATGATGATGATGATGCTGATGATGATGATGATGATGGTGAGGTGGTGATGATAATGATCATGATAGTGATGATGATGCTGATGATGCTGGTTGCAATGATGATGGAGGTGATGATGCTGATGATGAGGATACTGATGATGATGGTGGTGATGTTTATGATGGTGGTGATGATGGCGATGTCGGCGCCGATGACGAAGATCACTGCGATGACCATGGCAATTGCGACGATGAAAAGGGGGAGGGAGGAGAGGACGATGAGGAGGAGGAGTAGGATGAGGAGGAGGAGGTACAGGAGGAAGGAGAGTAGGCGGATGCTGGTGTTGCTGATGTTGTTGTTGTGGTTGTATGTGTTGTCGTTGTTGCTGTTGCTGTTGCTGTTGCTGTTGCTGTTGCTGTTGTTGATGCTGATGCTGATGCCGATGCTGCTGCTGATGATGCTGATGATGATGACGATGATGGTGATGCTGATGATGCTGGTGATGATAATGGTGATGATGATTATGAATATGAATGTGATGATGATGAGGAGGAGGAGGATGTGGAGATTGAGGAGGATGAGGAGGATGAGGAGGATGATGCTGATGATGCTGATGATGCTGATGATGCTGACGATGGTGGTTATGAAGATACTGATAATGATAATGATAATGACAATGATAATGATGATGATGATAATGATGATGCTGCTGCTGCTGATTATGATGATGACGATGATGATGCTGCTGATGATGATGATGATGGTGATGATGATGATGGTGGTGGTGGTGATGGTGATGATGGTGATGGTGATGGTGGTGGTGATGGTGATGAGGATGAGGATGAGGAGGATGAGGATGAGGATGAGGATGAGGATGAGGATGAGGATGAGGATGAGGATGATGATGATGATGATGATGATGATGATGATGATGATGATGATGATGATGATGCTGATGCTGATGCTGATGATGATGATGATGATGATGATGGTGGTGGTGGTGGTGGTGGTGGTGGTGTTGGTGGTGGAGGTGGTGGTGGTGGTGATGAGGAGGAGGAGGAGGATGTTGATGATGGTGGTGGTGTGCGGATGCTGACTTGGCTGATAATAGGGGTATGAGGAGGACGAGGAGGATGAAGGAGGAGGTGGTCGACGACAGAGGAGGGACTGGGGAATGGGAGAGCGAGGAGGAGTACGAAGAGGAGGGAGGAGCAGCAGGCGGGAGGCACGGGGGGGGAAGGGAGGATGACGAGGAGGACGACGAGGACGAGTAGGACGAGGAGGAGGAGGAGGAGGAGGAGGAGGAGGAGGAGGAGCTGCATGAGAAGGAGGGGGAGGAGCTGGAGGTGCTGGAAGATGTGGTGCTCCTGGAGTATCTTGCCCCTCCCACGCCCTCAGAGGCCCCCCGGGGTTTCTGGAGGCCCCCTGAAACCCGGGGATGCCCCCAGAGGAGGGACAAACACACACCCACACACCCACACACACACACACAAGAGCGCCCGACAATGTTTGAACACCTCGATCATCGAGCCTCGACCTTCCCCTGCCTCCCGCGGACTTGGCGGACCCCGGCGGCACCACGGGGGCGCGTCCCCAGGGCGCCCTGGGAGGATCCCGGGCGGAGCCCAAAACCGAAAGCAAAAGCTGCACCACGGGGGCTATCCGCAGCAAGGCAGTCCCTGGCGCCAATCTCGAAGGGACTGCGGCCTCGGAGAAGCGCGAGCCCGTCACAGTGTTCGATGGACTGTGGCCTCGGGGGCGCGAGCCTGCTGTCATGTCGGGCGTGTTCCCCATACAGGGGGATTTTCGACGAAAATTTAAAGATATCCCCAAAATACCCCCAAGGAGGTCAAACATTCGCAACAAAAAGGTCCCCAGACTATGGATTTTCGACGAAAAATCAAAAGTGCACCAAAAATACCCCAAGAATGTCAAACAATACTCAACAAAAAGGTCCCCTGACCATTTTTTTTTTTTTTCGCCGCAAATCCCCCTGTAGGGGGACAGGCCCGACTTACGCCTCGGGGGCGCGAGCCTGTTGTATTTTTGCAAGTTCCAGGCCCCCCGGCGCCCCCCCCAGGAATTCAGAGCATGCGATTTGGGGTGGTTCGGGGATGTTTGGGAGGCTCTGCCCCCCTGGCGCCGATGCAGACCATTGCAACAATCGCGGGAGCTGGAAGGCGCAGGGAATTGGACAGCCTACACTTTGGTTTCATCTGCCCATCGGAAGCGAAATGGCGAGGAGGTAATAATCATTGATGTTCCTACTGTTTCGACAAATGTTGGCCCTTGGAGGCGTCCGTGAGAGGTTCCGTGGCCACTTGGAGCCGTCTGGGAATAGCCGTGGGGCCGCTTCGAGGCATGATGAAGTCTATATTGAGCCATCTCGCTCCGAACGTTGCCATATTGGAGGCCACATGGGGCTCTCTGAGCCACCTTGGCGTCATGTTTGTCCATGCTGGTCGGAAAAAGTCCTCGCAGGTTTCAGGCCCAGGAGGGGGGGACGGGGATGGGTACCCCCCTGTGTTTCTCCGCAGTGGAATGCGAATGCTGGAAGAGAAAACGCTTTAACCATCGCCCAGAGGGCTGGCGGGATTTGATGGCACGACATTCAGTACATGTAGCAGCTAGACGGATGGAGGTCGGATCATTTTTTAATGAGGCCCTCGCATGGGATCTTCCCGAAGGTGTTGGCAATACTTTTGAATTTGTGCAACATTCGCACGGATAGAAGGTACATTTTCCAAACTGGTTGCCCGCTTGACATGTATCCGATCTCTACGGCCCTATATCCTTGCATTTGTTGTGGCTGACAGGATGGACGATGGATCCTTTGCAGGACGGGGTCTCTGCTGAATGGCAGGTCCACGGGGCGGCCATCTGTCAAGGGGGGCCCTGGCAATGCAAGACAACTGTTGTGTGGATGTGCGAAAATATGGCGTGGGACGGGTGCGTGTACCGCAGCACCGATATCGTGGGTTTCTCAGGGTCCATCCTCTCTGTTCCCTCCTCGTCCTTCTCCTCCTCCTCCTCCTCCTCCTCCTCCTCCTCCCTCTTCCTCCGTCCTCCCTCATCCCTCCTCCCTCCCTCCGCTTCTCCTCCTCCTCCTCCTCGTGCTCCTGCTCCTCCTGATCCTGCTCATCCTCTTGCTGCTCCTCCTCCTCTTCCTACTCCTCCTCCTCCTACTCCTCCTCCTCCTCCTCCTCCTCCTCCTCCTCCCTCCCAATCGATGTTCGGGGGTCTAAACTCGAGAGGGGACAGCCCCCCACCGAACCCCCAGGTGGGTCGTCGGCCAGGCGGCCCGTGGCGCCGCTGCCCCCGCGTGCCCGAAATCGCCGCGGTTGGCTGACGGGCCTGGCCCGCCGGGCGCCGGCGTCGGACCTTGGCTGGCGGACTCGGGCCGCCCGCCCGCCCGCCCTCTTTTGTCCGGCTGGCCCGGAGTAGTAGTAGCAGTAGCATTATCTTAGTAGTAGTCTGTGTAGTAGTCTCTGTAGTAGTAGTAGTAGAAGTAGTAGTAGTAGTAGTAGTAGTAGTAGTAGTAGTAGTAGTAGTAGTCGTAGTCGTAGTCGTAGTCGTAGTAGTAGTAGTAGTAGTAGTAGTAGTAGTAGTAGTAGTAGTAGTAGTAGTAGTAGTAGTAGTAGTAGTAGTAGTAGTAGTAGTCGTAGTAGTCGTAGTAGTAGTAGTAGTAGTAGTAGTAGTAGTAGTAGTAGTAGTAGTAGTAGAGTAGCAGTAGCAGTAGCAGTAGCAGTAGCAGTAGCAGTAGTTGTAGTAGTAGCAGTAGTAGTAGTAGTAGTAGTAGTAGTAGTAGTAGTAGTAGTAGTAGTAGTAGTAGTAGTAGTAGTAGTAGAGTAGTAGTAGTAGTTAGTAGTAGTGTAGTAGTAGTAGTAGTAGTAGTAGTAGTGGTAGTAGTAGTAGTAGTAGTAGTAGTAGTAGTAGTAGTAGTAGTAGTAGTAGTAGAGTAGTAGTCGTAGTAGTAGTAGTAGTAGTAGTAGTAGTAGTAGTAGTAGTAGTAGTAGTAGTAGTAGTAGTAGTAGTAGTAGTAGTAGTCGTAGTAATAGTAGTAGTAGTAGTAGTAGTAGTAGTAACTAGTAGTAGTAGTCGTCGTCGTCGTCGTAGTATTTTGTAGTAGTAGTAGTAGTAGTAGTCGTCGTAGTCGTAGTCGTAGTGGTAGTAGTAGTAGTAGTAGTAGTAGTAGTAGTAGTAGTAGTAGTAGTAGTAGTAGTAGTAGTAGTAGTAGTCGTAGTCGTAGTCGTAGTAGTAGTAGTCGTATTAGTCGTAGTAGTCGTAGTAGTCGTAGTAATCGTAGTAATCGTAGTAATAATAGTATTTCCTGTCTGAGGCCTCACGTGGCTCCCTCGTGTGGCTGTCTCGGGCCGCTTGGGATGGCCTCTTGGGCCGTCTGGGGGCCTCTTGGGCCGTCTGGGGGCCCTGTTGGAGGCCTTCTGGGTTGTATTGGGGTGATTTTGGCCGCTTGGGCTGTCTTGATGCGTCGAATGCCGAGTGTCAAATGATGTTGGCCTCTTCTGGGCCGTCTTCAGAGGCTTTTCGGGCCCCCTTGGGGCGTCATGGGGGCCTTTGGGGCCGTCATGGAGGCCATTTTTGGAATGAGATGTTTGCGACCCGGGCCCTCCTAGGCCGTGTTGGGACCTCCCGCCCATTTCGCTCGCCCCCGTTGAGCTTTTCAGGCACGATAAGACACTTCACTTACGGCCGGGAATTTGGGGTCCAAGCGTCCAAATACGGATTTCATGTTTCAGGACCGAGGGCGGGGAATTTCAGGGGACTTGGGGGCACTCAAACGCGTGCCTTTGGGCACAGCGGTGGATATGTATTGTCTTATATTCTTATAACTACACACATTTGTATATACATGCACATATGCACATATACACACATACACATTTACACACATATATACGTATAGCTGTTCATGTTATATATATATATATATATATATGTAGGTGTGTATATATATATATATACACGGGTTCCCGATGTTTTGGAGGGGGCTGGTCTGGTCACAACGACGCGTCTTAGGGCCGTGGTGGGTCGTCGTTGACGCATGCGGGCCAGATTCACCCAAGTTCGATTACCTAGTGCGGTTTCGGAGGGCGTCAAGAGCATTGTCGATTGTGGGCGCGCGAATCGTCGAGTCATGAGGTCGACGACGCCCATGGAGAACCGCCGCCGCCGCCTTCCTTTGGAATCGCCTGTGTGGCCAAACGTTGGGTCACTGATGGGCTAGAACGTTGGACTGTGTTCCCGGCCCTGTTGGGAACCCTTGTGATCGGGGGCGGCAAAGAGGGGGGTGATGACTAGGGGGGGGTGGATATCATGGCGGGGGCCATGATATTTCCCAGATTTCATGGCGCCTCTTCTTATTTCATTACGTCCCTGGCCCCCCGCTGGGCCGCGCACATGCCGCCGGTCATGATTTGCACCCCCCCTTCTTGGACACCCCCCTCTTGGCCGCTCCCGATGTGAATTGTTGGTTAGGACGAAAGGGGAAGGGATGAGAAGGGCGAGGGGGCGTTGGAGGAGCCCTCTTGCGACCTTTTCAGGGCTGCTGTGGCCCGTCGGACGTGTTCGTGGGCCGTGATTGGGGGCCTGCCTGGGTCGTCTGGGGGCCCTCGTGGGGCGTTGTAGTATGTTTGTCGTGGAGGTCTCTCGGGCCATCTTGGGGCCCTCATGGGGCCGTCTTTGGGTTTTTTTTGACCCGTCTTGGGGCTCTGTTGGGAGCTTCTCGGGCCGTCTGGGGGGCATCCTGGGGTCACTTGGGGCCGTTCCCCGGCATCGGAAATCCGAAAAGGTGAGAATGCGAGATTCTATTCAATATGTTCGAGATCGCTTGTGTTGCCTCTTCGGTCCCGCCTGGATGGCCTCGCTTGGTGGCCTCTTGGGACGTGTTGAGGCCGTCTTCAGGCAATGTTGGGCCGTGTTGGAGGCATCTTGGGTGAACTGTCAGATTCTTGGGGTTGTCTCGGGAGCGATATTGGACAGTAGTGTGCCAGTTTGGGCCATTTTGGCCACCCGGGAAGCGAGTTCCCTGGATTTTGCGATTTCCCCGGTTGGCTTGCGGGATACGCTGAATGCGAACGGACATTTTTGGGAAGGGGCCAAGCAAGAGTGATCAACCCTAGCAGGCCAAACACCCCTGCGGCAAGCCATACGTGGGCGGTGGAACTCGAGCGGCCTTTCTGCCGCTCTTGCTACCGCGCCTGGGTTGTGGGCGCGAGGCGTAGTGAGATCAGAGTCGGGAGCACAGCGGCTTCCTAGAATGTGGGCCTCTTGGGGTTCTATTCGGGGTCGATTTGAATGATCTCCACTTTTTCCTGCTTTCTTTTTTCCTCATGGTCTGCCCACTACCTCCGAACGCCTAAGCCTATGCCTCCCTTCATCCTCTCTTCGCTTTCTCTGCTCTTGTTCCTCCTCCTCCTCCTCCTGTTTATCCTCCTCCCTCCCCCTCTTCGTTCTCCCTCCTCCCTCCCCCCTCCCATGGATAGGCTCCTTAGGGCCACTCCAGGAGGCGGTAGATGTTCTCACCCGAGAGGCTCCCATCAGACCCTTTTAGGGAAAAGGGCCTCGGGTTCTTTTTACACGGCTTCTAAGAAGACTTACCCGCCTCAGATGTGCCAGGCGATCGCCTCGGCCATCGTGGATAGTGCCAGGTCTCTCCTTTCCTCGGCTGAGTCCTCCACCCCGCCCCGTGAAGACCTGGACTATCCCGAGGACGATGATGATATCCGTGAATCGCTTGCTGTATTCTACGCCACGTTTCAGGTTTCTTGCCCACCGCAGGAGAACCCTGCTCCTGACTTTGCAGGTTTCTCGCACAAGGGTACTCGTAGAGTTGATCCTGAATTTCACAGGTTCGAAGATTCGGACAATGAAGATGAAGGAGCTGAGGACAGATCTCAGCAGGATTTCGTGCCTCCCTCGCATGGCGATGAGGAGGCTTTGGCAGAGCAGCAGTACGCAGATCTTGTGCATGGCTCCCCAGAGGAGCAAGCTGCTGAGTGGCTTCTTCTTCCTCCCCCCCCCCCCCGTCGCCTTCGCCTCCTCCTCCCGCCCCTCTCGTGCTCACCACCCAGCAGTGTGACCGCATTGCGGCCCACCGAGCTCTCGCCAAGGAGAGACGGGCGGCTCGTCGCAGAATCCAGGTGCCCACCCCATCGTGCTTCGCCCCGGCCTCCCCCCCAGACGCGGAGGGTAGGCGACAGGAGGCGAGGGAGGCCGCACGTTCGGCCCTGCGCAACTGGCTCATCGGCAACTAGTTGGATGGGTTGGCACCTCTTTCCTTTTTTGTTGTTGTACGTTGCTTCTTTTAGTAAATAAGAGTTGCATGCGTGTCAGCAGTGGTATGGAGCACGGATGTCCCAAGCCCCGCGTTGCATCAACCCCCCTCCCAGACACCAGCAGGGCCTGAGGGCCCTAGCATAGCAGAGGGCTGACAATTCCTCCCTCCTCCTCTCCTCTCTCCCTTTCCCTCCCTCTCTCCCTCCCTCCATTTCTCTCTTCTCTCCTCCCCCTCCGCCCGGACGCACCTGAGTGGGTCCCCAGCCCCGACACGCCGGGGGACCCCCCCGGGCATTGGGGGTTAGAGTCCTGGGTCCCGTCTCGGCCACCGCCTGACCCGCACCCCTTCCTCCCCCCCTCCCTGCTCGACCGTCAGGCCCACATGGGCCCAGCGCTCGCCCGGCACTACGGGCTTGACCCTTGCTGCGTTGTCAGCCAATCCGATCCGGTCCTCCTCCATGCCCCCGGCACCGCCTCAGGCTCCGACTGGGGGGACCCGCCGCCGCGGCCCGACGTCCGGCCCCAAGAAGGACCCGCCTCGCGCCCGCCTCCTCGCTGCATCGCGGTCTCCGTCCCGATGCCGCTTTGCCTAGGAGGGGGAGGGAGGGAGCAGGAAGGAGGATGCTGCAGCCGGATGATACGGATGGTGATGATGATGATGATGATGATGATGATGATGATGGTGATGGTGATGGTGATGGTGATGGTGATGATGATGATGATGATGATGATGATGATGATGATGGTGATGGTGATGGTGATGGTGATGGTGATGGTGATGGTGATGGTGATGGTGATGATGACGTTGATGGTGATGATGTTGATCGTGACCATGATCATGATCATGATCCTGATGATGATCCTGATGATGATGATCGTGATGATGATGATGATGATCATGATCATGATCAAGATTATCATGATGATGATGACGATGACGATGATGATGATTATGAGGATGAGGATGCTGATGATGAGGATGATGCTGCTGCTGATGATGATGATGATATGATGATGATGATGTTGATGGTGGTGGTGATGGTGATGGTGATGGTGATGGTGATGGTGATGATGATGATGATGATGACGGTGGTGGTGATGATGATGATGATGATGATGATGATGATGATGATGATGATGATGATGATGATGGTGATGGTGATGGTGATGGTCATGGTCATGGTCATGATGGTGATGGTGATGGTGATGGTGATGGTGAGAGTGCGTTGCACAGCATTGATCGCTCATCTCCGCGGCCGTCTTCCTGTCCTCAAGGTCTTTCTGCTGCGCCAGAGTGGCGCACACGGACCGTCTCCGCCGGCGCATGCTCTGGGCCTGGGCCGCCTCGGCTGCGTGCACGCCGGTGGCGCTGAGCAGCGCCGTGACCGCCTTCTCCGCGTGGGTGTTGCGGGGCGTCCTGTCGGACGCCACTGAGGCGGCGCGCGCAGCGGGAAAGGCGGAGGTCAGCTGCCCAGACACTCCAGAGCTAGCTTGCCACACTGCCCTTTGCAAGTGCGAGGCGGCGGGAGCGCCGAGCGGAGGGAGTCAGCCTCGGCTTGTCGCGCTGCAGGTGATCGTCACGTGTGGGCAGATCGATTGGCGCCACGCTGGCAATCGTTACCCCGATGGGGGGACCACGGCCGCGGGGAGCGGACGGGTGGCCGTTGCCGTCGGACACGGGGGGGAAGACCCTTCGCCGAGCCTTCGTCACATACGCGGGGGCGGGGGGGCGGGCGAGGATTTGTTACGCGAGCGGGTGTTCCTCAACGACATAGAAAACGGAGTCGTCACCATAGCTAGTCCAGACTACGACGTGTACAACGAGGACTTGAGCGATCAGGCAGTGTTCGAGGCAGTGAGGTTCGTCGGCGACAGCAGGGAGTTGCCGCTCGGCCTGGGTGGAGCGAGGCTGCACAGGTTCCGCGCGCCGCTCACCGACGGGGAGATCGACCAGCTGCTGGCCGAGGAGGTGCCGGCGCGGGCGGAGGTGTCGGACATGGCGGAGCCGCCGCGGCGGTGGCGGCCGCGGGAAGCGGCGCCGCCGCCGCCGTCGCAGCTGTCTGCCGGGTGCTTGGTGAGCACGTCGGCGGGCTCAACATCGGTGAGACTGTGACGTTGCCTGCCGGCGCGGTGCAGGCCAACGGGCACGGGCTCACGGTGCTGTTGGGGGTGGCGAATCCCCGCCCCGTGCTAGTGAAGCAGCTGAACAGCCACCAGGCGGATATCGACAGCTTCGGCGAGGAGCGTATCGGGTGGAACCAGGCAGCGACGGCCACTCACGGCAACGACCAGGCCGTGGGTGATGACGTGCGCACGCTGTCCGTTGAGTACGGGCCTGACGGCACGCGGCGGGGAGAGTTTCGGAAGTCTGTTCAGGAGATGACGATGGCGGGGTTCGATGGCTTCCCGCTGAGCGGGCCCAGGACAGCCGAGTGGCATAGTCGCGAGACCACCGAGATGTCGGAGGGCCCGCGGGCTCAGCGCATGAAGTGGATGATCGAGGCGAAGATTCCAGACGGAGATCGCCCTGCCCACGAGGACGCCAACCTCGCGCTGATCCAGGCGCTGGCAGTCACCCACGACGGGCTGGACATCATGAGCACGGCGTGCATGGAGGCCGTGGCGCGCGGGAGGCAGCTGATTGTGGAACCTCATCACCGTTACCCCAGCGCGCCGAGCTACGAGGGGGCTGTTCACTTCATGGGCGACGGGGCGCGGGCGGGCGCGGCGCCGGCGGCGCCGGCGATTGCGGCCCGCGCCTCGGCGAGGTTGCGCGCGGCGGGGGCGATCTCGAGGGAGATGCGGCAGGCAGCCGATGCGCGCTCGCTCCGACCCCGCGCCGAGAAAGGCGCAGAGGGCGGGGGCGGCGGCGCCGAGGGCGCCGGGGGGAACAGCGGCGGTCTCCGAGGCCGCGAATAGGCTCGCCGCGCCTCGCCACTCCCGGGAGCCGCGGCGGCAGATCGGCGTCGAGCTGGAGCTGGCTCCCCAGCTGAGGCCGCGGGCGGATTTTGTTTTGAGCCACGGCGGCGCTGGAGGGTGCCGGCCTTGGGAGCTCGAGTATGTGCCCAGCAGGCGTCGTGGAGTTTTTCATCCTCCTCGACTGGCGACAGGGGCGAGAGGGGGCCTTGCTGGGCTGTGCCGCTCCACCGCGCGGCGACTGACGCGCCGGCGGGCCGTGGGATCCGCAGTCAAAGTCGGCGGGCGCTCTGAACTCCATGCGCTACGGCGCCAGGGCTGCGCCTGACCCCCCGGATGCGCTCGACCTTCTGAGCCTGCCTCAGTGCCTGCGCGATGCCCTCGCTCATTTAATTCGTCGCGTCTGCGAGCTGGACCCCGAGCCCCCTCGCATCGATCGCCCTGGGGCCCTCCAGGGGCTTCGGATTTTGAGTCGCGATTATACAGGGGACTTCGGTCAGGGCACCCGTGCCCCCATGGTTCTGGACAACCTTCTCCCCCAGACGTGGAACGTTCGCCCGTTGATGTTGAATCGGCGTTGGCGGGTCTGCCGCGCGGGGCCAAGTCGTCGATCGAGCCTCCCAGGTGCCTCCTTATACCGCCCCCCTTTTGAAAACGCTTGGCGGCTGTGACTTCTGCAGCTCGCGGCGGCTTCTCGGGGCCCAGCGAGGTTCGCGCCGCGCCCCGCCGCTCGAATCGGGGCGTTTGCCGTCTTGGAGAAGTCTGGGATGCATCGTCTCGTCCTGGGCCGCCGCCAGCGCAATCTCAGGCCCCCGCGCTGAGCTAGGTGAGATGTTCTTTGGGTGGCCTGGGGCTCCCGGCAGGCCGGGCCTCTCTGTGGGCTGAAGGAGATGCGAATTGCTCTCATGAGCGTGGGATCTCTGATGGGCACCTTGACTTTTTCGCTTCCGAGGTGGACGTCTCGGTCTGGAGTTTACTGGGCGCGGTAGGGGTGGATGAATTAGTTTCGGTGGGCTTGAGTGATCTACCGACGGGGTTTACCTGCTCGATCTGGTTTGTTCAAGCGCATCGTGCGCAGGTGGCGAGAAGGGAGGTCAATGACGGCGATATCCTCGTGGATGGGCACCCCGTGCTTCTGCTTTCCGAAGGCGAGCGCGCGCGCGGCATGCTGCGACAATTTGAACGCCGGCGCCTTCAAGCGTGAGCGTGCTGGAGGATTGCGCGACGCAGTCCAGAAAGAGGCGGAGTCTGACTGTTCCAGTATCCACGATATCTCGGGGCCCGCCCTCGTCACCCGCGTGCTGGGCTCGGTTCCCAACGATGGCGCCGGCGCCCTCGGCCCCGGCCCCGAGAAGCTGTGGAAGTTGATCGTGGCGTTCGATTGAGCACGGGCCCAACGGCGTCGTCTAAAACTATCGAGCGTTTTGTTGGGCATTATATCTACATCGCGATACTGAACCGCAGTGCGCCTCCAGTCGCGCGCCGCCCGCGCGACTTTGCTGCGCAGAGTGGCAAGCCCGGGCGTCTCTAGCCGAGCTGCTGCGCAGAGCGTCGGATCATCATCGGCGTCCTTCCAATCGCCGTCGCCGACCTTCGTCAGGAGTGGGCCCCCGCTGTCGCGCGCTCGGATGCCTCGCCGACGGGCCGCGGCGCTTGTCAACGCGACCTGGCGACGGACCAGGTGCGGGCGCTAGGAAGGTGGAACGAGGTGTGGCGTTTTGAGCGGCTTGCCCCCAATCAGTAAACCCCTAAGTCTCGCGCGCATGGCTTGGGCACGCGGGGGCTCCCGGCGTTGCTCGTGGGGGCCCCTGCGACGACGCGGGCGATTGGGGCTCTTGCAAGCATTCGGAGGGCCCTGATTTTTCCGAGGTGCCCCCAGGCCCCATGCAGCTTCAGAAATGGGGCATTGTGCCGCATGGGCTTTGAGAGTTTCCCGGGCGAGCATGTCGCAATCAAGGGGGGGGGGGGGGGGCGATTATCCTGGCCTCGAGGCGTCTATCTCGGCCTCGTCGTAATTTTGGGGAAGCGACGCGTCTTCCTCGTTGACAGCGCGCGGCTTTGTTTCGCGTTGGCCAAGGGTCGCGCACGTTTGCATGATCTGCTCGGGGTCTGCCAGCGGGCTGGCGCTATCTTGCCGGCCGCCAGTGCTGCCGCCTCCGACCGCGATGGGTTCCCAGCGAGCACGATGTTGCAGATGAGCCATCCCGCCGCGGGCGGGCCCGCGCTGTCGCGCGGGCCGCCAGCCACCCCGCCGCGCGGGCGCGAGGAGATGCAGTTCGCGGCGGCGGGAGCGACGGCGGGCATCGCGACGCGGGCGCCGACGGCGCCTCTTGTCAGCTCCCGGAGCTCCGGAGACTCGAGCGGCGGCGACAGCTCCACCCCCCCGCCCGAGGGCGCGCCCGGAGAGGGGCCGCCTGACGCTGGCGCAGAGCCCTCTGGAGGACGGAACGCCCGACGCCGACGCTCGGCGCTCGGACGGCGCTGGACCTGACGTCGCGCGAGAGGAAGGCCGAGGGGGCTCTAGGCCCGCAGGGCAAGCTGCTGGCCTGGCGGGGATCGAAGTCGCGTTTCGAGACGAGAAGCATCTCGGTTCGGATGAACCTGGATCGCGATT